GATTGTAAATCGAGGACTATCTGTTTATTGTTAGTATAAATTATGGATGGGTCATTTTGTTTTCCACACTGGTAGATGCACTCCCTATGGGGGATGAAATTCAGGCAGTCAGGTTGAGTGAGGCCATTTCTAGGTTTATACAAACAATTTGTTTTCCTGCATACATTTTTCTGTTGTGATGGTTCAGCAAAGAACAGTAGGCAAACAGCTCCATTTGTCTACGTATATTATTCAAGTGAGAATGGATTGAATGGAAACAAAGCCAGAAGGATACCTTTCCTTTTGTTTAGCTGATCTCCCTTTTAACTAACTCCTCATATTCAGAATTGAAGTTGTAATCTGTATTTTATTATTGTCAATCATCCTGAATGCCACTTTTGATGGAAATGAGGGATGTAAATTTAATAAATAGTATCTTGTCATATCTTCGCCCCAGGCTGCTGATCTCATCATCAATCCATCTTTTACTTTGAAATAAATTGCTGTGCTAAAAATGCTTCTAGTTTACCATTATCATTCCTGTGTCATGGGGAAAATGCTTTTGATGTTACTTTATTGTTTCCGTCTCTAAACAACATAGTATTTGTTTCTGAAGGGTTCTTTTAGTTACTGTTTGGCTTGAAGCAATATAAGGATAATGGAAGATAAACTGTAATAAAACAAAGGTAGCAGCTTTTGGCAAAAGAAATATTAAACACAGATGGACGATTAATGCCCAACAAATAGAGCAGTGTCCCTCTTTTAAATAGCTGAGCATCACTTTTCATAGGTCCCTTTTGTAGAAAACACACTTATCTACTGCATTGGCAACTGTCCAATGCACAATGGGTGTTATGATGGTTGCTGTTGTTGAGTTGCAAAGTCATGCCCGAATTCTTCGTGGCCTGATGTACCATAACACAACCTTGTCCTACACTGCCTCCCAAATTTCGTCCAAATTCACGTTCATTGTGTTGATGACACTATCTAACCATCTCATCCTCCTCTGCCAACCCTTTCTCCTTTTGCCTTCAATCTTTCCCAACATCAGGATCTTTTCCCTTGGAGTTGTTTTACTAACCTGAGGGGGGGGGGTTGAGAGAGGGGAGAATAAAAACACCTGATTTCTTCTCAGGAGGTTTTTTTTAAAAAAAATGCTAGATTTTAGAGCTGTGTGATACTTGGAAATTGATTCTAGAACAGTGACTTGGACCATGTGCGTACAAATGCAGCGCCTTTCTACGGCTCTTTAAAGCAGCTGCATATTTTGGGGGAAATATGTGAATGCTTTAAGGCAGACATGTCAAACACAAGGCCCAGGGGCCAGATGCGGCCCGCGAAGTGGTTTCATTTGGCCCGTGAAACCATCCTGGAAACAGTGAGGGAACGGCCCCCACTGCCTTGGCCCTGGCCCAGGCCAGCCGGGAGCCATGTACAATTTTGTGGTAGCCATCTATGCTGAAACACATTCAGTCTTAACTCCATAAGCCCCCCCCCCCCCGCATGGCCTGAGAGGAACAGTGAGGCTCCTCCAGTGGACCATGCCTTGGCACTTGCCTCGGTCACACCCCCTTCTGCCAGAGACCCTCAGATCTGTCCCACTCCTGCCCAGGCCCCCACAGGCCCCCTTGACGTGAACGATGTAGAGCTGGCCACACCCACCCAGTATGCCACACCCACTCCATCCATGCCCACCCAGTAGGCCACACCCATCCTGGTCACACCCACCCGGCCCCCTAAGGGCAACCGCAATGCTGATGCGGCCCTCAATGAAATTGAGTTTGACACCCCTGCTTTAAGGAGTTGAATGGAAGTGCTTTTTTCCCCAGACCCACATGCCCCAAGGGATTTTTTTTACAGTCAAATCCTGAGTCCTACTACACTTTGATTCCCCCCCCCAATTTTTTCCTCCCTTATTTAGAGCAATTTATGCTTTTTCCCAGGGCCATATATCACATTTATTATCTTTAGATGTTTATATATATTATTCAGTTTCATCTTTATATTGGAGAACATGATCAAGATGGCTAAATATAGAAAAAGAAGGGGAAACCCCATTCCTCACCCAACCAGACCCATACACGCATAGTAAACTTAAAAACAAAACTTCATTTGAAGAGTTTCTTTTCTAAAGTTGCTTCGCAGTTAGCAGTCAGAGATTTCAACCTCTTGTGTTATTTTTCTGTCCCATTTATCTTCACATACTTCAATGTGGCACATAAGTATTTTATTTAAGTACTTCTAGTAAGTTAGAAAGTTATAAACCAGGAGACTTCAGTATGGTATCATCTAGATGGATTGGTCCTCATCTTCTATCATTCTAAAAATCAATCTGGCAAAAAGGTTTAAAGTCCAAGAATCTGAAGGTCACTAGATTGGAGTGTCCCAAATATTCTATCTTATTTTTGTGTGGATCTGCCCATTCTTATGAGTTCATCATTAAACCTCTTCTTTCAGTTCCAGTTCCTTCTATGCTGAAACTTTGTCCTGCTTTTAGTTTCAATTTTTAGACTCACACACACTGCTGCTACATAAACTACAGTTTGCTCAAGACTGAAGAGACAACAGCAGACAAGGAATGAAACTAAAACAGTCTTTGAAGGAAGCTTGCCCAGATGGTTTGGCTTTTAACAGGAGAGTGCAAAAGAATAGTCAAAATTCAGTCCAGACTTCCAAAAGTCAGGTCAGGATTGTCAGACAATTCAGAGGTCAGAATTTCACAAGCAGAGTCCCCACAAACATCAAGCAGGAGCTGAAGATCAGAAAGTGGCTTCCAACAAGGGATCCTGGGGCAGGCTGCGTTAATCAAGAGATGTGCTTCTTTGCTTGGCAAGGAGCCTCATAGAACATCTCTACTTTGCCTTCCTCTTTACTGACTAGGCATGGGGGAATGTGTGGTCCAACATCCTCATCATCTGAATGCTCCAACTGCTCATGTGGTACCTATGTTTGATCAGCCTCTGGTGATTCTTGGCTCTGTATTTCCTGAGATTGGACATTCCTCAGCTTTTGCTGAAGCAGTTCTTCACCTTTAGAATCAGCACCTGAATCCTGGGCCATGACAGGCTTGATCTGAGTTAGGAAACACATAGTCCATGTGATTCTCAGTTATCCAGCTCATGGTTGTCCCAAACGTGCTTTTTCAAAAGGCCACTGGACTTTGTTTTTCCTTGAAGACGTTTAACTTCTCATCCAGAAGCTTTGTCAGTTCTTCTTCACTTCTCCTCCAGAAGCTTCTTCAGATCTTCCGTTCAGAACTGAAGGAGCTTCTTGGCTGAGAAACAAAATGTCTTCAAGGAAAAACAAAGTCCGTTTGCCTTTTGAAAAAGCACCTTTGGGACATAGTACTCCAATTGTCACTGAATTACCACTCCCAACACCCCTTACTATTGACTATGCATAGTGAGACTAGGAGACATAGCTCAAAGCTTCCTTCCTTCCTTCTGAGCTAAAAATAGAAGCTTCTCTAGTAGCAATAATGCTGTCAATATTATCTTTCCGATTTCTTGGCTCCATCTGTTCTATCTCCTTGTATCCTTAATGACAAATTAATATGCATCTGCTCTTAGCTGCTGTCTGTCTTTCTGACTCTTTTTCCCCCCTGTTCTGTTATTTAATTTTGTAAGTTATTGGTTTGACTTCTTTCATTATCCCTGGTACTTTGGATTGTTTAATTCGTGGCTGTAAGTACCTCAAGGAGAGGAGTGATGGATTGAAAAGAGGTTAAAAATGATGAAGTCTTTGCCTATATAGTTCCTTAGTTGTTTATAAATCACAGGACCTGTTAGTGGATTGCCTTTTTATCTCTTCGTCATGGGTTGTGAAATTTGAGAGGCGATACTTCAGTTGCATGAACAAACGGTTGTGCATTTATGATAAGAGCAGGGTCCTTGGATATTTTACAAACTTGTATTAAATTTTTACAAAGAACATAAAACTAATAAAAAAGGGAGAGAGGGCGAGGGAGGGAGGAAGGAAGGAAGGAAAGAAAGAAAAGTAGAAAGGAGCTTTCAATTTACTTTATAGCAAATACAAGTATAATTATACAATTATCTCTTCCTCTTGGTCATTTGGATATGAGTTCTGCCAGGAGGGTTGTTTATCTCTAAATTTTATTTTTACTTATTTATTTTTTGTATCCCACCTTTATTATTTTTACAAAAAAGGCAGTGAACATATTCCACACACCTTCTTCCTCCTGTTTTCCCCACAACAACATCCCTCTGAGTTGGGTTGGGCTGAGAGGGGGTGACTGGTGCAAAGCCACCCAGCTAAAGTGGGACTTGAACTCATGGCCTCCCTCTTCTAGCCTGGTGCTTTAACCACTAGACCAAACTGGCTTATTGAAGCCAGTTTGCTTAACTCGTTGTTTGCCGAACTGCTGAATTGCTAAAGCTGACCTCAAAATGCAGTGTTGGCCCTTCGTTATTGATAACTCTTGTGTTGGTGCTGCCCTTGAGTGAGAGAATAGTCTTCCTGCTGATCCATACAGACAAGTTTCCACTGAACCGACAACGTCTCAGAGAGATGCAATTTGGGCCAGTGCTTCTACTGACTTTGGGGAGACCAAAGAGAAAGTTTGAGCTGTGTTGCCTTTCTGTCAAATCAACACCCAAAAATCTGTTCCATTCCCTCATTTCGCAAACTCCTTCAGAGTTCTAAAATAGAGAGGTTATTTCTCTCTCCCTCCCCACCACTAATGCACAAAATAGAATTGCATTTCATTATGTGGTGTTCTTAGGTAGTTTTTCTTCCCACCTCCTCGAATGTGTTTTAAGAGGCCAGCATACAAGAGAGTGCTATATTAGTGCATTATTCCGACAACAAACAGGCACTGTTCTGTTGCTACCTGCTTGGCCATTGTTCTCCGTTGTGTGTGCTTTGCGGTGGTATTTGGATGGCTTCCTGCCCTCGGCTAGCACAAAAAGGCATTTCTGTTACAATGGCCCCTAACCACACAATGACGGCATTAAGGATTTATGTGGAGGTTTCATTATTTTCCCCTCTTTTGTTCCTTGTAGGATGTCTTCCAAGCAACCAGCTTCTCCGTATGGGGAAGCAGATGGAGAGGTAGCCATGGTGACAGGCAGACAGAAAGTGGAAGAGGAAGAGAGTGGCGGCCTCGCAGCCTTTCACCTTCCTTTGCATGTGAGTTTTCCCAACAAGCCCTATTTTGAGGAGTTTCAGCCAGTTTCTCTGCCGACGCGAGAGCCTTGCGGCCTTAGGACTCCTACCTCCCAGCCATACACGATGGTAGGTTTCCTCCAGACTCTGTTGTGCATTTGCGTTGGCCTTCGCACGCCCCCTTGGCACTGAAAGATCTCTCCTTTTATGCACCAAGTCACTTTGCCACTGGCATGGATGGAACATCTCACGACAATGAGAAAACTCTGAGCCGTTTCCATCATGGATGAAAATGCCATCTTGCTGGGTTCCGGGTCTTGAGTTCCGGGTCTCTCCCAGTTGTGTCCTGTTTAGACAGCAATCACCATGTGAAGTGTTCTAATCGTTATCATTATTTTATTTATTTATTACATTTTTTTTTGCCAACCCACTCCCCCCCACAAGCTGACTCTGGGTGGCTATTATTATTCCCTTGGTAGAAGTAAAAAATAGCATGCCTCTTGACTTCTTCTCAAGTATGAAGTGATCAAACAGAGTTCTTGCCCACAGTCTGATCCAAATAAATGCGGAAATTAGGGCACACTTTATATGTTAGTAATTCATGTATTAGTGGTTTGTTTTTTCTGCAGTTATGCAGAGGAGTTTCAGATGCCTTTGCATCTCTATTTATTTCTCTAGAATACCAGATTTGGTATCCCCATGCATTTACAATTAATGAACAGGTTTTTGGTAACCCTGAAGTTTGCAGTGTATACAAGTCTTTCTGACTTTTTTTCCCCTTTTTTCCCTTTTTTGCTAATTCTGTCTCAGAACAAAAGGGGGGGGGGAATCCCTCAAAACAGACCAGCTAGAAGTAAAAGGGAATATAGAATATTGGCTTGCCATAAGCAAAGGGGGGGGGGGGAAATGTGCTTAGTTTATATCTTCTTGTAGACTTACTTCATGCTATTTACAGTACAATGCAGAAATCACATTTCTCTGGTTTTTATGCAGAATTGATCCCATTTAAAAATTTTATGCATTAGGGAAAAGTAGATAGCAAAATGTCGATACGTTTGTGAAAAGCCATGCACAACGATGCATTATAATTTAGGAGATATGTTTGCAAAAAATACTGACCTCTGGCAGAGAGGCTATAGAAATATATGTACACATCAAAGAAATGCAAGGATATATTTTTAAAGAAGATATTTTAAATTGATGCAGAAATAGCTTAAATTATATTTAAGAAAGGAGAATAAGAATCCCTGGGAAACTCACTGACAGATTCATCATTTGCTAGCGATTGCAGCAAACCAGGGATTTGCAAATAGAACCAGAGTAGGTTGGAGAGAATTGTGTAACAGATAACCTTAAATGCCAACACTTTGTTGTAGATCAGGGGTGTCAAACTCAATTTCATTGAGGGCCACATCAGCATTGCGATTGCCCTCGGGGGGGGGCTGGGTGGTGTGGCCTATTGGGTGGGTGTGGCCTACTGGGTGGGCATGGCCAGTTCTACATCATTTGTGTCAAGAGTGCCTGTGGGGGCCTGGGCAGGAGTGGGACAGATCTGAGGGTCTCTGGCAGAAAGGGGTGGGACCAGGGCAGAGCCCATCAAGCCGGATATGTGAAGTAGGCGAGGGCCATTTGCTGGCCACTTCCAGGTGATGGTGCATTTCTTCATTCCTCATAAAGGGTGACATCTCCCCAGCATGCACCCAGAGGGTGGGGCCAACGCGGCAGGGGCTGGTTCATCGCTGTTTCCAGATGGCCTTGTGTTGCTAAGACTGAATGCCTTTCAGCCTAGATGGCCACCACAAAATTATACATTGGCTCCTGGCCGGCCTGGGCCAGGGCCAAGGCAGCAGGGGCTGTTCCCTCACTGTTTCCAGGATGGCTTCGTGGGCCACATGAAACCACTTCACGGGCCGTATCCGGCTCCCGGGCCTTGTGTTTTGATATGTCTGTTGTAGATTCTCCTTTTTAATATCCAAAGGCATCACTCTCCACTATCCATCCTCTTTTATCAGCCATGATCTCATACTGCTCTTCTTTCAAAAGTTGGTCCTATGAAGCAGAGGCAGGAATACCTGGCAACCTTTTAGGAAAACCCTGACTAATATTTCTCATTGCTAAACTTTATTTAGAAATGTCATTTGCAAGAGATCCCAAGCCCACGTCTAGCCAACTTGCTTTCTTCCCTAAAAGCATTTAAGCAAACAGGAGATCTTGAAGCAGATAATCACCAAATAATCCAAGAGATCCAATCACTGGTAAAGTCATAACTGAAAGGATTGATCAAAACACTTGGCCTCCTGGACTGGTGTCCATTGTATTCAAGTGGAGAGTTTTGGAGATAACTAGTTTGAATTAGCCGTGGTGGTAGACCATGATAAATTCAGATGATTAGCCATTCCTTTCTGCTGTTGTTATTTTTTTTTTAATTCATTGTCACAAGTTTATTATTTTGAGAGCCAGTTTGTTCTAGACTGGTTATAGCTCCAGGCAAGAAAGCAGGAGACTATGAGTTCAAGTCCCACCTTAGGCATGAAAGCCGCCTGGGTGAGTTTGGGCCAGTTACACTCTCTCAACTCAACCTACCTCACAAGATCGTTGCTGTTGGGAAAATAGATGGAAAGGAGTGTTGGGTGTGTTTGTTGTCTTGAGTTATTTGTAAAAATAATAAAGGTGGGAGATAGATAGATAGATAGATAGATAGATAGATAGATAGATAGATGGATGGATGGATGGATGGATGGATGGATGGATGGATGGATGGATGGAGAGAGAGAGAGAGAGAGAGAGAGAGAGAGAGAGAGAGAGAGAGAGAGAGAGAGAGAGAGAGAGAGAGATACAGGACTTTTTTTTATCATAGAACGCCCAGAACGGAATTCTGGCACCTTTTTTGGATGGAGCCTTGTATGACATGTGTGAGTTGTATGACATGTGTGAGTTCCAGCACCTTTTTTTTTTTTACAAAAAAAAAAGCACTGGATGGATAGATAGATAGATAGATAGATAGATAGATAGATAGATAGATAGATGATAGATGCATGGATGGATGGATGGATGGATGGATGGATAGAGATAGATAGATAGATAGATAGATAGACAGACAGACAGACAGACAGACATAGATAGATAGATATGCTAACAAATACTAGTCCTCAACTTATGACCACAATTGAGCTCAACATTTCTGTTGCTAAGTGAAACATTTGTTAAGTGAATTTTGCCCCATTTTATGATCTTATGTTAGGTGAATCACTGCAGCTGTTAAGTTAGTGACACGATTGTTAAGTGAATCTGGTTCCCCCATTGACTTTGCTTGTCAGAAGATCGCAAAAGATGATCATATGACCCCAGGACACTGCAGCCGTCACAAATATGAGTCAGTTACCAACCATCTGAATTGTGATCACGTGACCATGGGGATGCGGCAACGGTTGCAGGTGTGAAAAAATGGTCATAAATCCCTTTTTTTTCCCAGTGCCGTTGTGACTTTGAACGGTCACGAAATGAACTGTTATAAGTTGAAAGCTACCTGTGCTTCTCCGATATAGGGAGTCAATTCCTTATTTTTCTTTCATTTCTTCCTTACAGTAAAACATAAACATCCCCTTTCTTTCTCTTTTGCCTTCTTCCCCTCTGCCAAACCCTGTTTAGAACATGTGGCTTCTGTCCCCTGTTTTCTGAACGAAAAGCAAAGAATTCAACCATGCTGTTGTGTCATTTTTCTCAGTAAAGGTGGTGTGCTAATAATCTTTCTCCGTGAAGTATCCTTTGAGAAGTATAACCTGCCTGATGGCTAAGGATATCTGTATAGGAATCATTGTATCATTAATCATACCTGTTGGGGAACAAGAGAAGGAGCTAAACTGGGGGTAGATTGTTATGTGTTTTGTCATTGTACTTAGTATTAGTGGGGAAGATTTGGGAGTTATTGGAATTTTGAATGAGACACATGGATTTTTCAGTCACTCAACGGATATGATATCATCCGAAATTCCTTCGGTGTCAAAGAAAAACACATCGGTTTGAAATGTGTCTACCTTCACCACTGCCTTCCTATTTGTAAAAGCTCTAATGGGTTTTGAGGTGCACAGCAATTTAGATGGGTTACTTTTGCAGGGTGACTTCTCAGAATAGTATCAGAGTCCTGGAAGGATAGTGTCAGGCAGAAGTAACCAGGAACAGGAGTTTAGTTCAAAGTACTTCAAATACTACTACTACTACTACTAATAATAATAATAATAATAATGACTCGATAGATAGACAAAATGCCAAATCCAGTCTGAACATCTGGCTGACTGTGCGATGATCAATAATAAATTTGGAAGGGACCTTGGAGGTCATCTAGTCCAACCCCCTGCTCAGGCAGGAAACCCTATACCATTTTGGACAAATGGCTGTCCAGTCTCTTCTTAAAAACTTTCAGTGTTGGAGCATTCACCGCTTCTGGAGGCAGGTTGTTCCACTGATTAATTGTTCTAACTGTCAGGAAGTTTCTCCTTAGTTCTAGGTTGCTTCTCTCCTTGATGAGTTTCCATTTGTTGCTTCTTGTCCTGCCCTCAGGCGCTTTGGAGAATAGCTTGACTCCCTCTTCTTTGTGGAAGGGAATATATGCATAGGCAGCAATTTCACCTCGAAAAGAGGAAATCCATGTGGGCAAAGAATGTCACCAACCCTTTAATATCTACACTTGTTATGGGTCTGTTAGGTTTCCATTACAAGTGTTTGCAGTCTCCTCCTCCTCCTCCTCCTCCTCCTCCTCCTCCCCCTCCTCGTGATGGTTTCAGAATAATGAAAGTTTCTGAGGAGAAACACAAGAGGCATAAACTACATTTTGAATAAGGATGGAGCGTTGCTTTAACATTTCTAAAGGAAACAAAGGGAGAGACACGGAGGGCATGTGTGGGAGAAGGCCAGATAATGCTTTCCTTCCATTCATTGTCTTTAACAAGAATCTGTCAAAAACCCAAGCTCAATCAGGCAGAAAGAACTGGAATTTAAAAAAGAGTTTAGATAGAGGAGAAAAAAGCAACATGGTGAGATTCATTGATCCATGGATAGGGCTTGGAGTATTAAGTTCTCAAAACTTGGCTTCAGTCTCTGTACATTCAACTATTGTCGTGTTAAATCAGCCT